TCCACTCCCAGAATGCCCCCTTCAAACGGCAGCCATGGGAAGTGGAGCGTGGGGCCTGGGACTGTGGCCAGCAGCAAATTAGAAGGGCTGCCTTGGATCTGATGCAGTCCTCATGTCGTGAACCGTAGAAGGTCATTAATAAAGCCAGACAGGGCTCTGCGTGTGTGGAGGGCCCGCAGACCATCAGCTGCTGCTGTGGAAAAGGTTTAAAGAGAAACAGAGAGCTCTTTTATGCTGTCAAAATATTTTTCAACTGAATACCAATTAGTCTTCTGGAAAGGAAAAAGATATAACAAATGGCTAATTTGTCTGGGTTTTAGGTGTGGAAATCTAAAACGGTCAAACCAAAAGTTTAACTGAAAACTTAGGTTAAAATGAGCTACTAATGGATTTGAAATGGAGCGCAAAAAAAAGAATAAACCCTACTTTGATAAAGAGCCAATAGTATTTGTGAAAATGGTCATCTAGATGAGCTTCTCTACACTGTAGACATCACAGCTTTGCAAAATGACAGTAATGACATGCCTGTCTTTAATAAAATCAACATTCAAGCTGGTCATGTCCTGTGACTGTGAGCTTTCAAGGTTCTTTGTTGTCATTCACATCACATGTGGTACATGAGGTGGAGGGAAATTGTGTACTCAAGGTCCCAGTTACACCTAAAAATAGCAGAAATATAAAGTATATAAAAAAGAAACAGTATACAAGGATCTAAGATCAGAATCAGAATAAACTTTATGATCATTGCACCGAGATACAACGAGAACATGTACGTACAGTCGTCCGAAAGATGGACGGAGTGCACAAAGCTGCTACTATAAAAAGTGCGTCCCTCTTATTCTTATTCAGAATAATATTTTACTTAGATGAGAAAAGGGAAGAAAAGATATACACTAAACAGTAATAATATATTATAATATAATATAATAAGGTGCATTAAACAGCAGCCTGAACATATTCATATTTAAAAGCGGCAGCAAGAAATCAAAGATGACATGATGTTGCTCCAACTGCTGGTTATCACTTCATCACACCTTTGAGCCACATCACTGGTTTACTCTGTTATTTATTACTTTTTTCATCTCAGGTGCTAACTCCCTTTGTGGCTCAGAAGTGTAAAAGCTGTAGGTTGACTTTAACCCCCGTGCATAAACATGGAGACTGAAGAGACATCTCAGCGTCAGCTTGAAAGTGTTTTGCGATAGTTTCACTGAAACAGAAAAACGTAAACAAAAAAACAAAAGACGAGGTAAGAATTAGTGCCGCCATCTTGGTAGGTGCTACTTGGCATCCTTCAGTGCTGTCAGGATGGCAGTAGGCCATAAAAGTTGGATTAATTCAGCCAAGAAGCCAAACATCTTGCCATTAAGTGTTAGAATGATCAGAACCTGAACTTGATAAAAGTGGCATTGCAGTGATCAGGTTTTTGGAGAAACTTGTCTGTATTAGACCAGGGACTCATTGCTCTCTACACCATGGTTACTGTAAAGCAGGGTACTGAGGGTACGCACCATCTTTCTGAAAATATATCATCAATATTAGTGACATATTTTCCTATAGGGATGCACAATATTATTGGCATGGTATCGTATCAGCCGATATTAGCGATAAAGTTAAATATCAGACATCAGCCATTCCATCAAAATAATTCACCGATATAAAAGGAGCTGTTTATAAACATATATTCAGACCCTTTCCAAATAATTAGAATATCACGGAAAAGCTGTTTAACTTCCATAATTCAATTCAAAAAGTTAATATTTAATAGATGATAGATTCAGGGCTTACATTTGAAACAATTTCAAGTATTTATTTGTTTATTTTTACATAATTTGGGCTTCCAGCTCATGAAACCCACGAAAACAGAAGTTAAAAAAATTAGAATACTGTGGAGAAATCAGCCCAAATGTTGCAGGACATGAAAGTTTTAAACTGAGTGTGACACACTAATCATCTACTAAACTCAAAGCACCTGCACAGGTTTCCCCAGGTGTCATTAAATTGCTTCAGTTTGGTTCAATTGTCTCAGTTCGGTTCAATATGAGGAAGACTGCAGACATAACTGGCCAGAAGACCATCATTGATACCCTCCATAGGATGGGTAAACCACAAAGGTTCATAGCTAAGGAGGCTGGCTGTTCACAGAGTGCTGTGTGCAAGCATATCAATGGAAAGTCTAGTGGAAGGGCAAAATGTGGCAGGAGAAGATGCACCAGCAAAAGAGATGAATGTGGGCTTCAGTGGATTATCAAACAGAGAAGATTCCAGAATCTGGCAGAGATCCAGAAAGAGTGGAATGAGGCGGAGTCACAGCTTCAAAAACCACCACATTCAGACGCTTCCGGGAGATGGACTACAACTGCTGGGTTCCTCTGTCCTCTTTTCAGATGAAAGTAAAGTGCACCTTTTCATTTGGAAATCAAGGTCCAAGGGTTTGGAGGAAGAAGGGTGAAGAACAGAACCCATACTGCTTGAGGTCCAGTGTGAAATGTTCACAGTCAGTCATGATTTGGGGTGCAATGTCCAGTGCAGGTGTTGGTAAACTCTGCTTTCTTGAATCCAAGGTCACCGCAACAGTCTACCAGAATGTTTTAGAGGACTTCATGATTCCTTCTGCTGAGGATCTGTATGGAGATGTAGATTTCATCTTCCACCAGAACCTGGCCCCTGCCCATGTTGCCAGAAGCACCAAAAACTGGTTTGATGCCCACGTCACAGTGCTGACCAGCCAACTCGCTGGACCTAAATCCCATTAATAATCTATGGTGTATTCTCAAGAGGAAAATGAGGGGCACCAGACCCCAACAACAAAGAAGAGCTGACAGCAAACATCAAGGAAATCTGGGCTTCCATAACTCCCAGTTAATGCCACTGGCTGATTGCCTTAATGCCACGTCACATCGAGGCAGTGATTAAGACAAAGGGATTCCCAACCAAGTATTGAAGATTGACATATCGTTTTGAAAGTGCCATATTTTGAACGATTTGTTGTGATCCTAATTTATTTCTTTTTTCTGCAAAAACTGAGAAGAAGTGCGGACTGATTTCTCCACAGTATTCTAATTTTTTAAAATCCCGTCTTCGTGGGTTTCATGAGCTGGAAGCCCAAATTATGTTAAAATAAACAAATAAATACTTGAAATCGTTTAAATTGTGGGCCCTGAATCTATCATCTATTAAATATCAACTTTTTGAATGGAATTATGGAAGTTAAACAAATTTTCCATGATATTCTAATTTCTTTTGGAAAGGGTCTGTGTGTGTGTGTGTGTGTGTGTGTGTGTGTGTGTGTGTATATATATATATGTATATATATATATATATATATATATATATATATATATGCGTGTGTATATATGGTGCTATTTTTGGATGACTATTCAAGTGTTGTCATTGTGTTAGAGAAAGTAATTGTCATGAATAAATTTGACATTAAACATAATCCAAGTTGGTGTTGCATCATTTTCAGCTCCTTTTTGGCACCTGCATTTGGTAGCAGGCCAAACTGACAACGACCACGCAGAATAATGTAGTATTTTAGTTCCACAGCAGAGAAAGCTATGTAATCTTTGTAAGTAGGTTTAGGAAAAAAAAATCTCATTATTGGTATCGGTTGTCGGCCAAATAAGTTTTAACATATTGGCAAATCAGATAACGGCCAAAAATCCAATATCGTGCATCCCTATTTTCCTGAATTATTACCATTAGTTCACCAATCAATTTCATGGATAAAAATGTACTAAATTTGAGAAGGAATTTGTGTTTAGGCAAAAAAAAATGCTGAGATGCATGATATTAGAGCTCTATATATTTTCAAAACTAAGAGGAAAACTTCTACATTATATAAGTTCAAGTTATTAGTTTAAGTTCAATTAACTACAGACACTTGTAGCAGAGCTCTGGTCAGACTAAGCAGACATGTAATTACTTTAAGTGCCATTATTACAGGACGGGATCATTTTATTATGGTAGTGGCAGCATGCTGGCTGGTGTTTTGCCGTTTTTTTGGGTAAAATAAGGCTATCACTATGTGTTTTTGGACTAACAACACAGTATACAGCTGCACAAGGCGTTAACAATGTGTGGTTTTACATGTCAACAGTACACAGTGCAAGGCAAAGCAACAAACAAAATGGCGGCCACAAATCTTGTCAGTCCAGTGTATGATCGTCAACAACTCTTTTTGCGACCCTGTGTTTTCTTCAGGCTTCATATGGCAGCAATCTGCCTTCTAGCTGCAGTAATTTTCTTTTCAGGAAATGTTTATTATCGCTTCGTGTCTCGCTGAGCCTTCTTTGTCTGTTAACGAACAAACCTGAGCGCGTTGAATGAGGCTCTGATTTAAATGTCCTCTTCAGAAAAATGTTCAATAAATTTTATGTAAGACACAACAGAGAAAGTCCCCTCATTTCATGAATAAGAAGCAGATTTTACAGGGAGAGTGGAGGGACTGTGGTCTAAACTTAGCTGGTTCCAGACCAGCGGACTCTTGGAATGCAGAATCCTGAAAACGTGCAGGACAGATTTGTGTAGTAATTTACAACCATATCCCCAGGTGGAAAGCTTTGCTCTCTTACTGACTATGTTGTATGTTCCACTCAATATGCCTCAGAACGAAGTGCAAACTTGTCTCCGATTTAAAGATAATTATATTTCTGTTTTCCCTCTGTATAGATGGCTCTATAGTCCAACCACAGAACCCTTTGCAGCTGAACACAAACCTATTTCTAAAGCTCGTGGATGAAGCCAAAGCCTCAAGCGAGCCAGGCAGCTTGACCGCACTCCAACAGGGCCGACTGCATCCAGGAACACCACTGCACAGTTTTCTTCAGCTTCTGCCAATTTCCTTTGGCCCCATATGCAGAACAACATACTACAAAGGGCTGGACAGAGTCTGGCCTGTACATAAGACACAGTGATAATAATCCAATGAACTGTTTGGGACTGCAGTCCAGGACTTTTGGCGCTCAGAAAGGGGAATTACAGTGACCGATCTGAGAGGTTTTAGATAATTCTTAACTCCTTGTGATCATGAATCTTCAAGAAAAACTATCAGGCCTCAAAGGTCTGGTCTCGCACTCTCACAGCAAGCGTCGCCATAAAGGGGACCTCACGGTGGATATGATCAGCCCTCCGCTCGGCGACTTCCGACACACCATGCACGTGGGTCGCGGTGGTGATGTCTTTGGGGATACGTCCTTCCTGAGCAATCATGGCGGGACAGCCGCTGAAAATAACGGGGAGACAGATTCAGTCTCTTCACCGGACAACAAGATCGGGGCGTTCTTCTCCAGAACACTTCGGCAGATCAGGAGGGGCTCTGACAACCGACCCAGAGAGGGATCGAAGGACCTGTCCCCACCGCCGCCTGCCATTTCTCCCATCATCAAGAACGCCATCTCCCTCCCCAGGCTAGATGTGGACGTGTCCAACGGGAGTCCCACGACCAAAGTGCTTTTCTCCAGTTCTCAGAGCACACCAGAGGAGAGGAAGAGCTCGTACGGTGAGTAGGGAGATGTTTTTCTCTCAATGCTGCCAGTTTGAGGTATTTATGGCTCAAAATAATAGTGAGAATGTTTATGAAGCATTCACACTATTGTGATACATTTTTCTTCTTTCTGTTGGAAAACAACATCCCTTTGGTTTTGTCAGCATTTAGCACCAGCTTGAGATGGAATAAGTCCGACTGAATGATGTCAAATGCAGACTATAGAAGCTGGAAAACCTTAGCAACTGTGTTAGCTTGAAAAATAAACAACAGTGTCATCGGCATAGAGATGCAAGGATGCATCAGGAATGTTTAGATCTACATTATTTATATGAATTGTAAAAAGAGTGGGACCTAATAGTGAGCCTTCTGGCACACCATTAGTGACTGTTAGGTAGCTTCTGACCTGAGAGATAGTTTGAGAACCAAACTCTTTTTGCACTCATTTAAACTTTTTTCAGTCTAATTCAGCAAAAAATGTGTTCTGTCCACTTCCTATTCGTAATTTAAGCTTCTTCCTGATTGTTTAGCTGCTTTTCAGCTGTTTTTATTTTTTTTTTCTAATTTCAGCTTTTTTCAGATAATTTTCTCTTTTTTGTCCTCATTTCTGCTTCTTTCAGCCTAATTGGGCAAACATGTTCTTTCTGCTTTCTTCTGCTAATTTTAGCTTCTTCTACATTTTCAGCTACCCCTTTAATTTTTTTTTTTTAGCATTTTTTTTTAGCTAATTTAATTTGTTTTCAGATAAATTCAAATATTTTCATGGTAATTTCTGCTACTTTCAACCTAATTAACTTTACCTAATTTTAGCTTGTTATGCTTCTTTCAGATTTTTTTTCTGATAGTTTCAGCTTTTTCTGCTATTTCAGCTACAATTTAAATGTTTTTATGCTAATTTTAGCCTTTTCAGCTAATTCCACATCTATTTAGCTCATTTCAGCTCTTTTCACATCCTTCTGGTTGTTTAAGCTTCTTTCTGCCTCTTCATATATTTTTCAGCTATTTTTTTTGTTGCTAATTTCAGCTTCTTTTAGCTAATTTCCTAATTTTTGTGCTAATTTCTGCTAACTTATACCTAATTCTGCAAAAATATGTTCTGTATGCTTTCTTCTGCTAATAAAGCTTGTTCTTTCATTTCAACTAAAATTCAGCAAGTTTTTTTCAAACTGCTTTCAGCTGTTTTTCAGCAAGTTCTTCAGCAATAAGCATTCACATTGCATTTTCGCAGGAAATGCAATTTCCTTGTTGTTATTGCCCTCCACCTGTCAGTGTGTGTGCATGTGTTTGTCTGTTGCCAAAATACCACTGGGCGGATTGTTAAGAAACATTCAGGAAATAATCATTGTATGAACATCTACTTTTACTTATGGAGCAAACCCAATCCAAGATGACCACCACAGACAACTCATCTTAGAAAACACAACAATAGCTCAAATTCAGTCATTTTCACTGATAACGTTGTAAAATTTGGTGTGGTTGGAGCAGAGAGTCACTCACAACAAGTACTCCAAGTGTTACTCATTGTACAAGACGTTTGCTTAAAACCTAAATATTAACTGTTGTCATCAACCCTGCATGTCTGTTAGCAAAATATGTCATGAATGAATTTTAATGAACTTTTCAGAAAGTAATCCTTTATAACTTTTAGAGTTACTCCAACTCGAGATGGACCACCACAACTAATCAAAATACGCCATCACAAAAATGGCCCTAACAGTCAGTCATTCAGGTACTGAGCTAAAATTTGGTCTGATTATCTTTGTTTTAAAGTCAGGCAGGAAAAACGGCGAGTAGAAAGCATTCCTTAAAGGAATGCAAGGCTTTTACTTAAAAGATGGTTTTGTTTTTATAATTCTATAGAGGAAAAAGCAGCACATCTGTTAGAAACTGTAAAAAGTCTAAATTATCTCCACTGAAAATACCTCCCCGCACTGTCATCTGTGTCTGCCCAGTTATTTTAGGATTGAGTGAAGAGCACCGCTGAATCCCCAAACGGGCCCAAAGCTCAGCTACAGATGTTGTTTCACAAATTAACGGAGTTCCTGAACAAAATGAAAGACGAGGACAAAGGTCACACGAGTTAGACAGCGTTACATGAAAAGTGAAGACATGAACAACCGTCTGCAGCGACACTCAGGTGTCAAGTCTGCTCAGAAATGTGAGCGCAGATTAGTCCCAGATGAATCAGCTGGGCTCGTAACAAGCAGAACCTCAGAGATCCAGACGGTTTTGGCAGAAGGCTGTCTGGGTCAGTGACCCGTGTTAACGTCACACTCATGGCTCATGCAGTCCCATCTTGTCAGGGTTCAGTGAAGGTAAAAGCAACACACTGAAACTTTATTTTTCAGATAAGCATTGACACACTCGTCATTATTCAGCTTTCAGTTTGCTACTGAATATAATTTTCTACTAAAACCACAAACGTGAGTTTATTTGAGACAGTGCGCTCAGACTTTTGTTAGCTGTTCATCATTGTAGATGAAATGGTGAAAATTGGTGTGTTGCTTGTCACCCCTGGGTTTTACCGGCTCCTACACCTGTCTCCTACCCTAATCACCCCAGGTGTCCTTCATTGTCAATCATGGGTGTTCCTATATCTTCTGTGCCTTTGTCTGTGGATTGTCCCCCTTGGTGTCGTGTGCTGTTCTCCCTCCACATCACCTCATCATGTAAGTTTTGCTGCCATGTCAGCTGTTAATTTGTGTTGCGTAAATAAATATGTTCGTGTTATTCCTGTCGTCCGAGTCCTGCATGCACTTGAGTCCAAACACACTCAGATCATGACAGAAATTCCATCCATCCATTATCTTTACCCGCTTCTTCCTTTTCGGGTCATGGGGATCACTAGTGCTCATATCCAACAGTCACTGTGCCAGAGGCAGGATACAGGCAGGATGTTCTAGAGTTGCGCCGCTCAGGGTGGCTGCATGTTGGAGCAGCTCTGGTACTTTCATTCTGAGATTTTGCTTTTGGAAACTTTAATTCCTGTTTTTCTGGATGTAAATCACATTTTTTGGATGATTGTTTCCTCTGATCTTGGATGCTGCACAGCTAGAAGGATTTTTACATAAACTTTTTTTAGTTTTGGACATTTGTTATGATGTGTAACCAGAACAACAAGATGGTTTTTGTTTTTGTACAACAGAGAACAGCTGATTAACATCTCAAAAGCTCAAATAATATCTCAGCTACAGCCACAAATCTCAAATGAGTTGAAAAGGAGGCGCCGTGGATGCATTCCCGTCTCCTTGCCGGCGGTGCTCAAGCACCTGACCACTGAAATCCTGGAAATGGCAGGAAACATGACTCGTGACAGCAGAAGGACAAGGATCGTCCCCCGGCACCTGCAGCTGACTGTCTGCAGTGACAAGGAGCTTGACAGACTGCTGGGAGGAGTTCTGCTCAGCATTCAGGTGGTCCTGCAGCCCGGGGGAACCAAGAGTCCAGCTGAGTCTGGGTGAATGGATCGGACGGCTTCTGCGACCAGTATCTTGGGATTCGCTGTGGGACGGACCTTTACAAGAGATCCTTCCTGCCTACAGCCATCAGCATCTATAAAATCTCTTAATGAAATGAGGAGAACGAGTTACAACAAAAAAATTATTTCCCTTTGGGATTAATAAAGTGTTTTTCAAGTGAATTAAATACACCCTGGACATGTCTCCAGTCCATCAGAGACACATAGAAACAAACGAGACAAACAACCATTCACTCTCTCTCTCACCTAGGGACAATTTAGAGTTACCAATCAGCCTAACATGCATGTTTTTGGTCTGTGGGAGGAGAAAACCCACGCATGCACGGAGAGAACATGCAAACTCCACCCAGAATGGTTCCGTCCAGGATTTGATCCAGCGACCTTCTTGCTGAGAGGCAACAGCTCTATCAACTGAGCCACCGTGCCGACTGTAAATAAAATTAGCAAAAATAATGCAATTTAGTTGAAATGAGTGTGAAAACCCAGCCCTCTTTATAACACAAACACACTTCCCCGTAGAAGTGTGGGCTGAGTGGTTAGAGCAGTCGTCCTCCAATGTGAGAGTTGGGGGTTCGAATCCACCAGCAGTCAAATGTCGAAGTGTCCCTGGGCAAGACACTGAACCCCTCGTAGCCTCTGATGTGTGTCCCATCAGTGTATGGATGTGATCTAAAAGCTCTGATTAGTCTCTTTAGAATGATTTGTTCAATTAGCTTTGTATAGATCTAGTATAGAGCTGGATGAATGAGTAAATGAGGCACAGATTGTAGTGGAAAGAGCTTTGAGTATCTTGAAATAAGATAGAAAGGCGCTATAGAAGTACAGTCCATTTACTATTTAGAAACAAATGAGCCTAAAAAAGATGGATTTTATGACTAAACAGCTTGATCCTAAAATGCTAAACTGTGATTCTTTAGTTTTATGAGTTTTTGAAAATTTTACCACAAAATTCTCCACTTGAATTGTAGTGATGTCACTCTAACTTCTGAGCTGTCTAAACTTTCTAGATTTCTTTCAAACTCCTCTTGTTCCTTTAAACAACATACCTTTTATTCATACATCATAACAAAGGGATATTTTGCCTTTTTCACTCAGCGTATTTCTCCTTGCTAAAAGTTTTCTCTCAAATTACACCAAAGTGTAGAGTGCGTGCATCAAAACTGTCACTGGTACCTGCTGTGTACGAGCACAGATGATTGTCTTCACAACAGGAAGTGAAGGATCTTTATGGTCTCCTACATGAAGCGTTGTCGTCACATGTTTTGATGACCTCACACTTCTGACACTCACACTTCAACCTATAATGTTTTGTGCAGTGGCTGTTTGTCTGAGGTTTACTTTTTAGTCTGTTTCTGTCTGCCTGGGTTGTCCCTGCAGTAGTGAGAGACACAAATCTGTGGTTGCTATGACGACCCTAATGAACCCAGGCACCAGATTGGACATCTTTTATGTATAGTTACACTTCTTAAGAGCCCTTTATGCATCACAATGTCATATTTGTCAGCCTAGTCCATTAGAAAAGTAACTAAATCACTGC